ATTGCCCCTAACCGCTTCTGCCTGCCAGCCTGATCAGCCCCTAACCACTCCCCCACAACTGCCCTCCCCTGCCGGCCTGGTCACCCCTAACTGCCCTCCCCTGCTGGCCATCTTGTGGCCACATGGGGGCAGCCATCTTATATGAGGGCATGATGGTCAATTTGCATATTACCTCTTTATTATATAGGATTACTCCCCCTGTGATAACCACCATACTGTGTGTGTCTATGACTTTCCGTTTTATACCCCACCTATGAGTGAAATCATAGTTCTTAACTTTTTCTGTCTGACTTATTTTGCTTAGGATGATATTCTCAAAGTCCATCCATGTTGTCACAAATGTAAAGTATTTCATCTTTTCCTACGGCTGAGCAGTATTCCATGGCATATATGTGCCACATCTTCTTTACCCAATCATCTATCCAAGGACACTTGGGTTGTTTCCATGTCTTGGCCACCATGAATAATGCTGCAATGAACATAGGGTACATATATCTTTGCAAATAAATGTTTTCAAATTTTTCAGGTAGATAACCAGAAGGAGGGTTGCTAGATCATATGATAACACTATCAATTTTGGGGGACCCTCCATACTGTTTTCCATAATGGCTATGACAGTTTACATTCCCACCAGCAGTGAATGAGGTTCCTTTTTCTCTACAACCTCTCAAACACTAATTACTTCTCTTTTTGATAACAGCCATTCTAACAAGTAATACAGATTTAATGCAATCCCCATCAAAATCCCAATAACATTCTTTAAAGAAATAGAACAAAAAATCATCAGATTTGTACGGAACCACAAAAGACCCCGAAGAACCAAAGCCCTCAAAAATAAAGAACAAAGCCAGAGATATCACACTACCTGACTTCAAATTATACTACTAAGAAACAATAATGAAAACAGCATGGTATTGGCAGAAAATGAAACACACAGACCAATGGAACAAAATTGAGGGTCCAGAAATAAAACCACATGTATATGGGCAAATAATTTTTGACAAAGGAGCCAAAAACACACAATGGAGAAAAGAAAGCCAGAATGAAACCTGGTGCTGGGAAAATTGAAAAGCCACATGCAAAAGAATGAAACTAGACTACAATTTGTCCCCGTCTACAAAAATGAATTAAAAATGGATCAAAGATCCAAATATAAGACCTGAAACAATAAATTATATTAAAGAAAACGTAGGTACCAAACTTATGAACATTTATCTTAGAGAAGATTTTATGAATTTGACCCCAAAGGCAAGGGAAGTAAAGAAAAAAATAAATCAGTGGAACTATATCAAACTAAAAAGTTTCTATGTCATTCTTTTTTTTAAAAAATATATTTTATTGATTTTTTACAGAGAGGAAGGGAGAGAGATAGAGAGTTAGAAACATCGATGAGAGAGAAACATCGATCAGCTGCCTCCTGCACACCTCCTACTGGGGATGTGCCTGCAACCCATGTACATGCCCTTGACCGGAATCGAACCTGGGACCTTTCAGTCCGCAAGCCGACGCTCTATCCACTGAGCCAAACCGGTTTCGGCTCCATGTCATTCTTGACCATCCCATTCTCATTTCATTCGTCTCTAAACCCTGTCAACCTCTTCCTTCACTTAAAGGTTTCCTCTTCTCCCCTCACCCATCTTTTCACATTTTCAGTTCAATGTTTGGATGGAATGAAAGGAGAATCAGGCATACTGGGGTTTCTTTTTGGAATGACAGAAATCTTCTGGAATCAGATAATGGTGATGACTGCACAACACTGTAAATATACTAAAAACTACCAGACTGTACTCTTGAAAATGGTTCAAATGTTGAGTTTTCATAAAACTTATTTTCAATAAATTTAACAAAAATACATGTACAACATGTAAAATAATATATATATGTATACACATACATATATATACACACACACACATATATATATATATTTAAAATTAAAAGAAAAAATAGAAAGCAGAAAACAAAAGGCAGGGGGGAAAAAACAGAGTGGAACCAAAGCTTATGTCTTCTCACATCCGTGCACAAGACATAATTGAATATAATCAAAATTAGCCTTGAATATTCCACAGGAGGCACAGGCCACAACTGGAGACTGACACACACATTCTCTCTCTCTGCAATAAATGTGGTTCTCAGTTCACAGTATGAATTGCACAAATAGACACATATTTTAAAGGGGTGAAATAGTAAACCAGATTTAAAGCAATTGAACAAAAATCTTCCAAGGCTGTTAAGACATTGTAAGACAGGGTAGTGCATTTTTTCACACCACCATCCTTACGACCGTACAGAACACATACCCCAGAAGGGTTGATAAGTATAGTTAAATACCACCAAATGTTCACTTAAACTTACACAAAATACATTTTAAATTACCATTTATTTAATACATTTGCTTTACATTACCCTTTAAAATTGAAGTTTCACTGGCTTTAAAAACACAGAAAAGCAACATTTCTATCACTCTGCTGAAATTCTAGAATGCGTGCCTTGTCTAGGATCTACTGAACTACATTAGCCAACCATCCTGAAGTCTGCTAGTCTATGCAAAAATGGAATTACCCGCATTGCTGGGTGCAATTGGTGCTTTATATTGATCAAAATATCAAGTCATACTGGTATAAAACCTGGACAAGGAAGTGGCACATTAATTCACATTCCCTTCTTAGCTCTGCTCAGAACCTGCCCAACTTGCTAGCCATATCAAAATCTAAGAAACTGAATTTGCCAGTTTCACCATCATCATAAGAAACACTAAGCACCACCTGCAGAGTAGAGTGATTCCAAAACGGTACCTACTCCAGAATAGTAGCTGAGTAAGCCGAACACAGAGGCACTCAACCTGCCCAGTGTGACAACAAAACTCATACTAACATACTGGTATGTCCCAATCCTTGCTGGTGGCTGAAATTGTTCAAATGGTGGATATATCCTTTCATTACAAAATTAGAAATAAAATATAGAATGCAAATACCTCTGAAGTAAGTAATATACAGACTGGTTTATTTTAAATCCTCAATCCCATCATCTCTTGCCATCTCAAACATGTCTAGCCTGCAGCTTCCCACTCTTTGATGCACCTGATCCCTCTCTATTGGGTCATCCCCTTTGGCAGAGTAGCCTCACTTACATGCCCAGTCATAAACCATTCCCTTGACCCACATTCACCTCCAAATACCAAGTCACTTCTGTTTCCCTTTGCAGCACAAGCTCCTGAAAAATGGAATTAGGATTGCTGTCCCTGCTTCTCATCATGTGCTTTCCTCCAAACACCCAGTTGGAGTTCTATCTCCAGCATTCACTATGGCCGTCACCAAGGACCTCCTTCTTACCAAACCCGCTGATCATTTCTCTGTTATTTTACTTGACCTCAGTTCTTATCTTACTTAACACAACTGACCATCCTTTCTTTGAAATGCGTAACTTTTCTAAGTTCTCTGTGACACCAAGTTTCCTGGATTTTTCTCTGATGTTAGAGGCTGTATCTTATCTTCTCAGTCCCATTTATTGGCTTCTATTTTTCTGCTTTACTTAGAAACACTGGTGTGTAGCAGGGCTCTGTCCTGGGCTTGCTTTGCTGCTTCATTTCTATATTCTTCTCAGGAGTGACCTCATCCAATTCCATGGTTTGAAATAGCATCTAGAGATTGATAACTCTGAAATCTACATCTTCAGCCCTGTCCCCAAGAACTTCAGATTTATATATCCAATTGCAAACCTAGCATCTTTATTTGAATTTTAACAGGTATCTCAAACATAACATGTCTAAAACGGAACTCTAGATACTGCCTTAACACTTGTTCTTTACCTACTCTTTACCATCTGAGTAAATGGTCTCACCACCTCTCCACTGCTCAGCCAACATTTTAAGAGTTATCTTTGATTTATTCCTCTCTTTCATACTTCAAATCTAATCCATCAACACATTCTTTGGACTGTACCTCCAAAATATTATAACCCTGAATATTCAAGTCTCTACTTCACTCTTCCCCCATTACACAATAGATTGATTATACTACTGGCCCTGCTTTTTTATACCTCCCTGTATCTTTTCACATCTCTTTATTCCTGTCCTTGGGCAATGCCCTTCCACACTAACTGTGGGTAAACCATATCACTTTCTTGGACCAATGGGATAGCAGCAAACTTAACACAAGTTAAGGCTTAAAAATCTGCCTATTTGTTTGTACTTTTTCTCTTACTTTTTTGCGATTACCATGAGTATATGATCCGGCTAGCCTATTAGAGAGATGTAACATAAACACAGAGGAGAGCAGAGTTGTACCGGCCATCTCAGCTGAGGTCATCCTAGACAGTCAACAGCCATCTGGCCCTCCAAATACATCAAAGACCCCAGCAACATCACAGAGCTGCCTACCTGACCTACATTTGATTAGAGACACATGAGCAAGACCAGTCACAATCAGCTGAGCCTGGTCCAAATCAACAGAACTACCCAGACATCCCATTAATTCATGAACAAAAATAAATCTTTATGTCTATACACCACTGAGTTTATGGGGATGTTTGTTACTTGGCATTACTGGGGCAATTAATTGACATAGCCACTATCATCCCTTGTCAGGACTATTGCAATATCCTCCTAAAGGTCTCACTATTTCTTTCCTTGTCTTCTTATAATCCTTCCTCCATTTCAACAATCAACACAAACTTAAAAAAACATAAATCCGTTCATTTCCTAAGTCCTCCAATGGTTTCCTCGCACCTAGACTAAAACCCAATTTCTGTAACCTAGCATAACACCTACTGGTATTAAGAGTTCTTCTTTTAGAGCTACATACTGAAAATCTTAGAGGTAAAATAATGCCTTTGATTTGCTTTATATTCTGGGAAGGGTATTTCAAATTGTCCCTTCTCACCAAAAATAGAATGAGCATAGGTCCTAGAACCAAATGAGCTGGGGTTCTGCCTCTGGTTCTGCCCCTAACTAGATGGGTGACTTTGGGCCAAGTAACCAACTCCTGAGGCCTAAAAGTTACCTTGTCATCAGCTATGTCTATGCCAAAGGCAGGGGGTGCAGGAAACATTCTTCAAAGAGGTGGAGGCACTGGGGTAACATGGAGACACGGAGGCAGAGAGACAGGCAGTCAATCAGTCCATTCTGTTCCAAAGCACAAACAAGAATATCTAAACACCTTAACTCAAGGTTTCCCAAACTGTGCTTCCCAGAACCTGTCAGATTATACCAGACTGCAATCTCCTAAAGGCCGAGGCACTGGCTGATTTATTCTCTCCTGTGGGACCAGTGGCCACCACAGTGCCAAAAACATGCTATCATAATATGTGCTTACCACATGCTTGCTGAATGAATGAATAAAGATATGCAGGTAAAGCTGGGTTAAACAATGTCAAACTGGTTTCTTGTGTGCATTTCTGAGCCTTTGATACATGAATAGACTCTGTGAATCATACAGAATGCAGTTTCCCAACCCTACTTGATCACAGAACTTGTTCTATTTCCCTTGAACCTTAATATCTCCAGTAGTTGTAGTATTCTATAAAACAGTTTGAGAAACATCTTAAGCTTACATAATTTAAGTCCTTTTTACCGTCATGAAATGCAGTTTTCTTATCTTTATGCATAAGGTAATTAAAAGGCCAACTAATTTGATTCCTATCTACTATGCGGCTGTTTTCTCCCAGCATCCTACATCTTCACATCTCCCATCTCCAGGCAGGGCCTCAATCTCTCCCATCTCCTAAGCAGCAGGTGTCTAGTCAGGTTTCTCAACTCTGCTCCCCGCCCCCTCACAACCAGTCTGCTCTGAAAATCCTCACACCTCTTCTTCCACTACTGTTCCTCTCAACCTCACAGGCATTATTTTACCTCTATATTATGAACTTTCTTAAACTGTTTTAATTACTCCCCTTCTCCCTTGACAATCAACCCAGCAAAGTTCTGATCTGGTCATTTACAATATCATCCCACCTCTGAAAAGTTTTCAAAGTATTTCTTCTCCCTTTTGTAGTAAAGTCTGTTTCTGCCTTTGCATTCTCCACATTGTACCCTTAGGATCACGCCTTAATTTTAAGTAAATATAATCATGTCATATTCCTCTTCCCTTCCTACCACTTATTTCCAAGTGCTCAAGCAAGTAAATACACGAACATTTTCCTATCTCCATGCTTTTGCTTGAGTTGTTCTCTCTGCCTAAAAGAGCACCTGTTGAAATCCTACTCATTTTTTTAAGGTCCTGATCACAAGTGATCTCTTTTATGAAGTCTCCTTTATTTACCGCAATTAGTTACTCCCTTCTACTACCCCCAGGCAACTGTACCACTCATCTTAGACATATAAAGTTAGCCGTAGAGATGCAGAGATAGCCGAGTTGGGAGAGAAGACCAGGAACCAGGTGAGTCTGTCAGGGACCATGTCCAAGAGGTTGGTGGCAAAGGGAGAGACCCGGAGGTTATTTGCATGAATCGCTTGACCTCTAAAGGAAAAAGAGCTTTGCATGACCTGCAGGCAGCACAAGGAAGCCAGAGGAAGGCCACAGCAGAGAGAGCTGCAGAGAAAGAGTCACAGTGGAACAATGCCCTCAGAGGGCCCGTGGAAAGATCTGGGAGGAGGCCAGCAGAAGGATGGAAGTTCGGAATCATAGGGGAGTTGAGGGCACATAAGGAAACAGCTGATCAGAAAGGATGGGAGCCAAGGAAAAGAGGCAAAACCTTAGCCAATGCTGGCTGAGATCCCAGCTGGTGTCAGAGGCCAGATGAGTTAGGCGTTCAACAGTTCCTGATCAGCATCAAAAGCAGGCTGATGAGTAATTCTTCCAATGTCTATGAAGAACAGATTTCTCTAACGCTCATGGCACAATTCTTAATCTTGTGTGGGGGCTGTCCCATGGTGGTAAGGGTGGAGGGAGTCATGAGGAAGGGTTAGGTGTGGTATCTCCTTTCACTAGGGCAGGGTTCACAGACCTAAAAGAGAGGAAGTGAGTCCAACAGGAACAGTTCACAGGGATCCCAGGCCTCCAGGCACACTGCAGGCAACAGCAGCTATGAGGCCCAGGAAGTGGGCTCGCCCAAAAGTAGGTAGAGAATGGCAATGTGGAATCCGCGACAGAAAAAGTCATCTGAAAAATATGTGTAAAAGGCAGGCTCTTTCAACTGCAAGTAACTAGGCTGAAGCAGACGAGAGGAAATTGTTGGCTCACATAACAGAGAAGTCCTGGAATGGTTCCGGCATCTGAATCCTGGGGCTCAGATGGTGCCGCCTATGCCCCCACCACCACTCTGCTGCTTCCCATTGCGGGCCGGCCTCAGTCATTCTCTCCTACTTCATACAGCTTCCTCCGTTGTCGAAGGGAAAGATGGCACCAGGAGCGCCCGGGGTCCCTCACTCTAGCAGCAAAAGAAATTCCCAGAGGAAAAGCATGCCTCCTTTCCTAAACTGGAGCAGAAAAGGAGCCTGATGGAGTGAGCCTCTGTCCTGTGCTAACCTCAGAACCAATCACTCGGTCAGGTGGAAGCGCTTCTCAGATTGGCCAAAGCTGAGTTAAATACCACGCCTGGGGTCAGGGTACACCCCACCCAAACCACGCGAACTGGGATGAAGACATTCCCCAAAGAAGGAGTCTGGGAAAATAGTAAGTCCTCTAGAGTGGTCACTTGTCCGTCAGGTTCCAGATACCAAAAGAGAAGCCTTGTCCTGCTAGTTAAAGAATAGAAGGGCTTTGAAGTCAGACAGAACTGGTTTTAAATTTTAGCTTTGACACTTAATAGCTGTGTGACCTCGGGTAAATGACTTAATTTCTCAGTGCCTCAGGTTCCTCCGTATAAAATGGGGATAATAGCATCTACCTCCTAGAGATGCCTGGAAAGATTAAATGAAATAATGGACACAGATTGCTAGGCGTAATGCTTGGCACAAAGTGATCAATAAATGGTAGTTATTGTTAGTAATAATAACAATAATGGCAATTATTTTTATTTAGAACAAGGACACCACGCGAAGGGTGAGCTGTGGCTGGCACAGCCATGGGCAAACTACGGCCCGCGGGCCGGATCCGGCCCGTTTGAAATGAATAAAACTAAAAAAAAAAAAGACCGTACCCTTTTATGTAATGATGTTTACTTTGAATTTATATTAGTTCACACAAACACTCCATCCATGCTTTTGTTCCGGCCCTCCGGTCCAGTTTAAGAACCCATTGTGGCCCTCAAGTCAAAAAGTTTGCCCACCCCTGGGCTGGCATCTGGATAAATCAGCCCTGGGTCAAGTTTCACTAAGGGAAACTGAGAGCACAATACAAGGGCCTGAGTGAACACTGAGATACAAATTCAAATCAATAAATGTGTTAAGCACCTATTATGTGCCAGGAACTAGGGATACAATTATGAATCAGACATATGGCTCCATTTCTCTCTCGTCAATATTTCTATCTCTGTCCCTCTCCCTTCCTCTCTCTTTAAAAATCAATAAAAACATATTTAAAATGTATTTTAGCCGAACCGGTTTGGCTCAGTGGATAGAAGGCAGCTGATAGATGATTCTCTCACATTGATGTTTCTAACTCTCTATCCCTCTCCCTTCGCCTCTAAAAAAATCAATAAAAATTTTTTAAATATTTTTTAAAAATAAAAAATAAATAAAAGCTTTAAAAAAATATAGACATATGGCTCCAAGGTAAACTACCATGAAGAGTGACTATAGCTTTGTGTCATTATTTAGCGGGGAGAGGAGAGGTTGATCAAAGCTGCTTCATTACTTTCAACCACAGGATATGGGACAGTGCTGAGTGTACAAGAGAACAATGCCTGGGCCCAACTGTTGGAATGCTGGGAAGGGACAGAAGGGCTACAGTCACCCCGCACCCCACTCCATCCCACCCCCAAAAAACCACCTGTGCATGAATTAGGAAAAAGTACCTCTTCCTTTAAAAACTTTACTTCCATCGTCCAAGAAACTGTCATAGTAAATAAACAAATCTACTATAATTCAGTGATGGCGAACCTATGACACGCGTGTCAGAGCTGACACGCGAACTCATTGTTTTGGTTGATTTTTCTTTGTTAAATGGCATTTAAATATATAAAATAAATACCAAAAATATGTCTTTGTTTTACTATGGTTGCAAATATCAAAAAATTTCTATATGTGACACAGCACCAGAGTTAAGTTAGAGTTTTTCAAAATGCTGACACGCCGAGCTCAAAAGGTTCGCCATCACTGTACTATATGGACCATGTGAATGACATTGCAGAGTTTTGCAGTGTATAACTAGCACAACTGTACATGGCAGCCCTGGGCATAGGCAGGGAAGATGATATGGGGGTCGAGAGAAGTTAGGAGTGGTGATGGAGTATCTGGGAGTCCCTGAACTTTTGGAAACAGAGAATAACTTTTTTTTTCAAATTATAAGAGAAAGTTTATTTAGAAAGTCACAGAGGAAGGAAGATGTGAGCCAGCTGGGCTTCATGGGCTCAGGAAACAAGTTACAGAAGCAAAAGAAGGGCCCTGAGAAAGAAAAGGGTGGGGAAAAGCTCAGGTGTGCTCAAGAGAGGAGCATGACAACAGAGAATAAAATAAGTTTTGCTGTAGAGTTGCACTGTTCAATATGATAGCCACGCACCACAAATAGCTGTTGAGGATTTGAAATATGGCTAGCACAACACAGGAACTAATTTATTTTATTTTAATTAATTTTAATTAAAAATGTAAAACTGAATTAGCATAAAATATTTTGCCATTAGCCACAAGTTTATATTGTTTGGTAGGACTACAAATGATATTGTATTGTACTGCTCATATCCTGAGTTGCTTCTGATATTTCATTAGTAATTTTATATGATTATATAACATTATAGTATTTTCTTATATATTGGGTTACACAAAACACATTATTAAAATTAATTTTGGAGAAACTAAGATGGCGGCATAGGTAAACACTGGGAAATTGCTGCCTCCCACAACAACTTCAAAAATACAACTAAAAGACAAAACAGACATCATCCATAACTACAGGAAGGCTGGCTGAGTGGAAATTCTACAACTAGAAGGAAAGAAAAGCACACTGAGACTCAGAGGAGCTGCGGA